TTCCTAGACGAATGTCTCTTTTGAAGGATGAGACAAAAGATTTCATATTTCCGAAAATTGCCACAAAAATCGCCAGTGTAAAGGGGGCTGTAGAGGCAACAATTGCATAACCCCGTTTCATCATCCTGCAATAGTTCTCTTAATGCTTCTCAATATGTCATTACCCCCTAAACACATTCTTAAAATAACGCAACCCCCTACGAGTTTGCCAACCTCCCCCCCCCCCCCCCCCCCCCCAATGTGCTGATAAATGACAGCCCCCTAATGATACAATTGAAAGCAATGCACGTACTTTGAATTAGTCGATCTCGTAACTTCTTTCCAACTGTCTTCCTTTAACGACTGCTGCATCTGTCTGGACCTTGGCGAGTGTACTGAAATATAAAACATTGTAATCAACTCTTTCAAGTTTTCATAATCACTGTCTTTGCTAATTGTCGTTGCTAATGATGGATAGAACGTGCCCTTTCTCAAAAACCCGAAATAGGCGACTTGCACTAAGAGGTCACGTGATCAAATCGGCCATTGTGGCTGGCATTCTACAGGATTTTAGCTATGCGAGAATGTAAAAAAAGATGGCGAATTCGGGTAGTTTTTTGGTGATGAAAGGTAAGTTAGCGCACTAAATAACGATAAAAATCCCCTTTTCTTGCAAGAAATATATTCTTAGTAGGTATCTAAAATAGATTATTTCTCAATTGACACGGTTTTCTTTGTTATTCACAAGACTTTATTTTTGTTATAACCCTCATAAATGCTAGGTCAATGAGTAGTCAGTTATTAACCCGGTTAATGACTATATATAGACCGTTCGCATTTATAATGAGCAACATTTGATAGGAAACCTTCTCAATTGATAAATAAAATACTTAATTACCTCGAACGTCGGCAATAAGCCTATACATCCCTCGGGCCTAGTGCCCTCGGGATGTGTATGGCTTATTGCCTCCGTTCTCGGTAATTAACTCTTACTTTTTGTTATTAACTCCCAACTACTAAACTAACAAACTACTTAACAAACTACTAAACAAACCAAAAGTCAAAAAACCAAACACAAAGGGGAGAACTCTTGACAACTAAGGGCGGATAAAGAACTCTACGTATGATAATCTAAACTGGGGTTGAGCAAGTCTTACGAGACAAGGACAGAAGACATGACTAAAAAGTGTGTGTGGGGAGGGGGGAGGGGGTGCATAAAATTGGAAAATATTGGAGACTAGTATGGGGAACAAGGTGAGACACACACAGATCACTGTTAATCTTTATTGTGCGCACAAACTAAGCGGGATCAACAACAGAGGCAATGGGTGATTGTGATTGGCTGAGCTCAAGATATTGATTTTGTTCTCTCCTGATTGGCTAAAGTTTTATCTTAAATTTTATTCAAGTGGTCCCGTTTAGTATGTCCGCAGAGTGAATTACAGATTTCACTTACATGGCTTTTGTTCTTTGTCATTATCATTCTGCGTAACCTTAGGAACCGTCGATGACTGTCCAGTAGTCGTACACCCCCTGGATACGGTCTTGTGTTTGCCATGCTCCCCAGGGGATCCCCCCTCACTTCCATCACTCGAATCTTTAGATCTTCTCTTCAAACTTCTATCTCCTTCAGAAACTCGATCTGCTTCGGGCGAAGACTTTGGCGGCGCATTGGCTCTACTCCTCTCCCTCGGTGACACAGGGTGACCAGTACTAGAATTTATTGTACTTGAAGAATCAATCTTATCGAGCTCAGAAATCTTATTAGGTGATGGACTTGATACATGTGAGTTACTCGTGTTCTTGGTGGTATTTACGTTCGTGTTTTGTTTGTGAGAAGAATCGCGTTTTTGTTTCTCCTGCTTCGAGTCCATGTTAATCGAACTTATCGTAATCCCATGATTTAGATTTCTCTTCGTCTCGCTATCCTTTTCATCTTTAGTTTTGTTATTTTGACCATTCGTTTTCTTTTTCTCTTCTTTCGCCGTACTCGCCTCCTCGGATTTCTTTTTCGTGTTCTTGGCCTTTTCAGCGGATTTTTTATCTTCGTAATCGTTCGGCGAGTCTTGATTCTGATGATGTTGTCTGTCGTTCGACCCAACGACATTCTTCGATACCTCATCTTCTATATTCAACTTCCCTCGTCCCCTCGATGAATCAACAATTTCTCTCGAATCTTGTCCGTTATTTTGCTTCGGGTTGCTTTCTTTTCTATTCTTGTTCTTTTGAGGAATGATTTCAGCATCGTCGTTGTCTTTGCTCTTTTTTTCTTGTGTGTTTTGCTTGGTGCAGTCATCGTCTTCGTTGTCGCTCGAGTCTCCTTCGGATTCGGGTGGTTCTGCTACTTCCTGAGGTCTGTTTTCAAGAGGCGTTTCTTCTTTAGTTTCTTTTGCTTGTTCGCCTTCTTTAGCAGCTTTTCGTCTGCGTCGTTTGTCTCTTCTTTTCGCTGCTGCTTTCTTTTTGCGGTTATTTTCTCTTTCTTTTTCATTTTCAAGCTCCTGTAGTAAGAACAGTAAATACATTGTTATTATTCTCGTTTCCAGACTGTCGTTCTCCACCGCCGTAGTAGAGACCTTTAGCATCAGGTTTACCCGCGGGGGGGGGGGGGGGGGGGGGGGGGTGCTCCCCTATATTCGCTATACGGGTACGTGCAGCCAAACAGGGTATGGTTTTTAGCGATTCTATTCTGGAAAAGGGCATATAAAATCGCGCTCGCTCTGGGACAGGGTATATGAAATCACGCTCTCTCCTCTCTGGAACAGGGTATCCATTTTCGCAATACCGGAATAGGTTGTGATTCTCAGCGACCTTGCTCTGGAACAGGGTATGAATTTCAGCGATTTTACTCTGGAACAGGGTCAGGGTTCAGTGGGCTCAGCGGCACATCCCTACCCTAAACGAGCAAGAGTACCTCCCCCCCGAGGTTTACCACTAGGGATCTGGCCAGAAACATGACAGCGAACACGAAGAAACACTCAGGATCAATGAAATTCAATATAGCGGCTATTCCACCGCGAGTTCTTTTACTGTGATACAAACACGCATGAGACTTCTGAGAGCATGAGTGATGGCCGAGTGTGCCTGTACTGTGATACAAACACGCATGAGACTTCTGAGAGCATGAGTGATGGCCGAGTGTGCCCGTACTTAGATACAAACACGCATGAGACTTCTGAGAGCATGAGNGACTTCTGAGAGCATGAGTGATGGCCGAGTGTGCCCGTACTTAGATACAAACACGCATGAGACTTCTGAGAGCATGAGTGATGGCCGAGTGTGCCTGTACTGTGATACAAACCCGCATGAGACTTCTGAGAGCATGAGTGATGGCCGAGTGCGCCTGTACTGTGATACAAAGAGGCATGACCTCTAGAGCACAAGGTAGGTGGCTTGTGCTAGTACTGTGATATATATAAACCAATGCAAAATTCAGAACATTAAGGGACAAACTAACCTTGAGAAGCAATTCCGTATTGCGCTGAACTTTTTGCTCTTTTGCTTTTTTACACTGAAAAAAAAGAAAAGAAATTGAATTAACAATATTAATACCTTTATTTTATATAGCGTCAATTCTAGCATGATTCAACAACGTTTTACAATAAGAAATATAAAAATACATAAATTATTTACAAGATCAAAAATAAACAAAAATAATTAAAACATTCAAAACAAATATATATGCATAAATGTACAAATCATACATCAAAAATAATTTGAAACTTAGATTACAAAATAGTTTTGCGCTTGTTTTTCAACCACAACTCCCCGTACACGGCTCTGCTGTGAGGTTCCCTCCACACGCACTACATTCTACATTTATAGCATACAACACTCAACTCACATGTTGATTTTAACGGAGTGAGGAAACCTGAGAACCCAGAAAAAATTCTCATGAAAAGAAAGAGAACAACACATCAAACAAACTTAAGTCACCCACGACCCCAGGCATCAACTACACACAGCAGATCTGAGAAAAAATGTTAACAAATCAGAATCGAGAAAATTTGCAAAACGGAGGTGTATTCATTCATTCTATATCAGATCAGCTGGACAGTGTTAAGAAAATTTGCAACGTAGCAGCGCATGCCATGCATACCTTGAGAATCAGATCATAGCATTTTGTTCTTCCCAGCATCAGTTCGTCATATCTGTCTTTGTCATCGATTGGTGCAACAAGGCATTTTTGACACTGTTCTTCTGATGGCAGGTGATCGACTACGTTGAGAAGCCATTCAAGTGCTTCCACGTGACCATTCTTCATTGCTGATACCAGAGGCGAGTTGTTACGGTAATCTGGGGCCTGGAAATACAAACAGGATAAGTGATTAGGAATCTTAAGAATTGTAAAATCTACGACGGTGACGTCAACCGGAGGCGTAAATAATTTCTCTTTCGGGTTTTGTTCTTTGGAGATTTCATTCAAGATATTGTCAGTACGACTTTGAGGGCGCGAAACCCTGAAGTGAAGTTATTTACACTTCCGGTTGACGTCGCCGGCTTCAATAGGCCCTTTGCAACTCAGTAATCACGTGCTGATTAATTCACTGAGAGCAAATGAATGAACATTTTGATTCCTATGGGTGAAATATACTGGAGAGCAAACAAACTTTCTACAACCTGTTTCGAGAGATCGTAATAAAAATGCATCTCGTGACACACTGGTTACACATCGTTTCATCCAGTTCTTTACAAGTAGCTAAAAAGAATCACCAATTTAAAATAAAAACAAAAATGTTGCTCACCAGTACAGACACGTGACCGGTAACTGCAAAGGGCCTATTGGTATGCAACACGCAACACCAACTTTTCTTTGAGATAGCTGCATTACGATTCAAAAGTGACTACCACGTGAAGGTAGTACCATTCTTTTAGCTACATAAAGTACAATATCATCGCATATACCTCAATGTCCGCTCCTCTGACGTGTAGTGCAATAGCGATGGCCAGGTGACCTTCCTTGCAGGACAAGTGGAATGGTGTACAGCCTTTCTTGGTGTGACATTCTATATTGGCACTCCTAGAAAATATTCAAGCTCATTTGATACAGTGGAATTTCATACGAGTCCACGGACACACTGAGGGTGAACTTAATAATGTGTTCAATTAATTCTAAGTAAAAGCTAATTTAAAAAGGTGTGTCTTAACAGCTGATTTGAAATTGCCGATGCACAGTTCATTCCTGAGTTCAACAGGAAGAGCGTTTTTACAGATATATGGTACAGGTATACACTCTAATACGATTCTTTGTGACAGGGCAGAAAAACGACAAGCCCGCTACTTTCACGATTTTTTCACTTAGCTGAGTTTAATACTCCAAATTTTTAGGCGTTTCATTTGTGTCACTGCTGCTCGAAACTCGTGACGAAATCTACTTAGTAATTACAAAAATGTCAGTTTTCTGCTGATCAAAATATCACCTCTCCCAAAGTACACGGCTTTATATCTCAAATACGCATTCAATACATTTTGGTCGCATTTGATATTTTGCTATTTGGCTCCAAAAGAACGTGTTTACAAAATATTGAGATTAGATACGTAAAGCTGTCCTTATGGTGAAAGGCCAAAAACCGTTTTTCTGCCCTGTCATTCTTTGTACAGCTTTAGTGGTTAGGGTGGTGTAGTGGTATAACAGGTCACGGACACCTAAAGAGTGCTTTCGTTAATGAATGTAAAGGAAGAAAAACAACAGATAAACAGTCAAGATACCTTCTTAGTAACAACGATACCAGTTCAGCATGACCTTTCTCACAAGCCAAGGTTAAAGGATTTTCTCTGGAAAACAATGATATTCTAGATAAGTTCAATGACAAAATACACTTAAAGACAATTAGCAGAAACATGTAAAACAGGCTGTACACTTGAATGCAAGTTGGTTGGAGGGTTTTTCTCATGGTTCTCTGGTTTTCCTCCCATCGCAAAACCTAACAAGCTCAAGTCAAATTTGATCTGTGTGTTACCCATGCCCTGACTTAGATCAGCCCAGAGGTTGTTTCAGGGTTCAATATGTGAGTTACCCATGCCCTGACTTAGATCAGCCCATTGGTTGTTTCAGGGTTCAATCTGTGAGTTACCCATGCCCTGACTTAGATCAGCCCATTGGTTGTTTCAGGGTTCTATCTGTGAGTTAGCCATGCCCTGACTTAGATCAGCCCATTGGTTGTTTCAGGGTTTGATCTGTGAGTTAGTCATGCCCCGACTTAGATCAGCCCAGAGGTAGTTTCAGGGTTTGATCTGTGAGTTACCCATGCCCTAACTTATATCAGCCCAGGAGTTGATTCAGGGTTTTGTAAAATATGAAGTTTGAAAGAAAGAAAAAACAGCCAAGACCCATCACTGACTGATGAATGTTATAAGGGAGAAATAGCTGTGCATCATATCAAGGTATCATCTTAGTTTATAGAATTCATTTGACAAAATTTCCTTTCAGACCCATAGCATTTGAAGGTTATTCTTCATGTCTGTACCTGCTGTTGGGAAAGGTTGCGTTGACACTTGCACCATAATCCAATAACAGTTTTACAACTTCCACATGGTTCTCTCTACAGGCCTAGAAAGTGGAAAAAAATGGGAAACATAAGAAAACAGTTATTGAATGATGTTTCTGTTATACATAACCAAAGGCTTCTCAACTTTTTAACGAAAAATCGAAGGCTCTGGTAACACACAAATCGGCCGTTAATTTGATTGGTTTATTTTTTTGCATAATCAACTGTTTTCATGGGAGTCCTCGTACATCATAAGGTATTCAATTAGTTGAACATGTATGAGGACTCCCATGAGGAATCTACAGATCTTTATGCATTCAAATTATTACCTTGCTTTATTTTCACTCTTGAAAATAATGCTGGAGGGCGTCAAACCGTCGAGTATACTAGTCTTCAATTTTATTTTAAAAACTTCAAGAAACAAACACCTTATTTGCTTTGAATTTTGAAGGTTTGAATTTTTACCGGAAGTCAGAATTTGTGGAGCATGCATTCTAGCAAAGTAGGATCTGGGTCATCTGGTTTGTTTGTCACCAGAGCCTGCGATTTTTTGGTGAAAAGGATCTGGGTATGAGAATGAAGGATAAGGTATGTACTGTATGTGTTTTGAACCCAACGTTTTTACCATTACGAATAAAAATGGCTCGGAATAGAAAATAAAAATGGCTAGACAGTTTTTTTATATTTTTGACAGGACAAATAGTTTTGGTGGAGCAAAATTTCCCTGCCATTTTATTTTCCAATTTGTAGTTTAAAACTATTTTTGCCTGCAAGCAGGGTTTTCAACAGAAGCCAGCAACCGGCAGATTCCGCCATCTACTCTTGCTAATTTGGGCGCCTACTTAGCCACTTCCCAATGTAATTGTAGATTTTGATTAAAGTTCTTTAAAGTTCGTTAAAATAAATTTTAACCCAATCTTTGTTGCTGTACTACGAAAACTGCAATGCAATCGAAACTACGATCGTTGGCCGCCATCTTGAATTTTTGTGAGAAGAGTGAGATTGGTGACAAGTATGCCTTGATTACATGCTCAAGTGATTTCTGGTTTACCGCCTATTTCATATTTTATTTTTCATAACCGCCCACCAAAAATCTTATTGAAAACCCTGTGCCAGTAGTAAAATCTGGCCAACCGGAAATGCTACACCTTTTCCTAAAGTGGAAAGACATTTTTGCTTTTCAATTACCCATCCCCTAGGACATATATCTTTTATTTTGATATTGAGAAATAAAAACACCCTAATTATGTTGCAGAAAGAACCTGTGTTGGACCCTTTTAGGCTCTAGTATTGAAAGGGTTAAAGGATGAAACACTTGTTTACCTGGAAGAGAGGTGTTATGCCTGTCTTGGTCCTACAGTCTCTATTTGCAGTGTTTTCAAGTAACAGTTCTGCTACATCTCTATGACCTGCAAAAACAGAATCAGTAGTATAACAGGAAAAAAAAAATACTCCAGCTTTGAGTTGTCTGTTGCTCAGGGTTAGCTTCGACATTGTGCAGAATATTCACGTGTTCCAGTGAAGGTCCGCAGAATTCCACAGTGTATCGTTGAAGTTGCGCATTCTTTACTTTACTGTTGGTATTTGTGAATATTTAGACACTGTTATAAGGCTAACCCTGGGTTTTGGAGTCTGATTGATAATTATAAAATAATTGGGATACTATGCCCGCTATGATTGGTCAAAAACCATGTTTGATGAGAGTATCAAAACACGTTATCATCATTTTAGTGCGCGCGAGTATTGCAACTGTCAGGAATGTTGGGAGAACAATCGAGAAACTGGAAACCACTCCGCTACGTGTCGTGGTTTCCTAAGCTCCTCTCATGTTCTCTCAAGATCCCGCGTGTTTTGATCAGAGTATTAAACACGGAAAACTGTTTTTGATCTGTTAAGCTAGATAATGGGATCCTAATTTAGGAATATACGAGACAGTATGGGAGAGGGATACTTGTATACCAAGTAATATGCTTCTGAATTGGGTTTTGGCTGCAGCTACTAGATATGGGCTAAATCAAGGAACCAACGCATTACCATGACCACTGTGTAATCATTGCAACATGCTGGGATAGAGAGGAGAGCATTCTTAGATTGATATTAGTGAATCTAGAAGTTACCTTTCCAACATGCCATGAAAAGTGGGCTTTGACCATAGTTGTCTGGTAGTTCTACGTTGGCAGAGTGCTCAAGAAGAAGCTTAGCAACAGCAACATGCCCTTCCCTAAACAAAATAATGATCAAAAAAACACCATCAGTCATCCGTGAGACCCTCCTCAGACCCTCCCCACCCCTTGGAAATTCCAATCCCCCTCCATGGGGGAGGTATGGATATTTTCTGGAACTACACAATATACCCTCCTCAGACCCTCCCCACCCCTTGGAAATTCCAATCCCTCTCCATGGGGGAGGTATGGATATTTTCTCGTACTGCACAATATACCCTCCTCAGACCCTCCCCACCCCTTGGAATTTCCAATCCCCCTCCATGGGGGGAGCTATGGATATTTTCTGGAACTACACAATATACCCTCCACAGACCCTCCCCACCCCTTGGAAATTCCAATCCCCCTCCATGGGTGAGGTATGGATATTCTCTGGTACTACACAATATACCCTCCTCAGACCCTCCCCACCCCTTGGAAATTCCAATCCCCTCCATGGGTGAGGCATGGATATTTTCTGGTACCACACAATATACCCTCCTCAGACCCTCCCCACCCCTTGGAAATTCCAATCCCTCTCCATGGGGGAGGTATGGGTATTTTCTGGTACTACACAATATATCTTCCTCAGACCCTCCCCACCCCTTGGAAATTCCAATCCCTCTCCATGGGGGAGGTATGGATATTTTCTGGCACTACACAATATACCCTCCAGAGACCCTCTCCTCCCCTCAGAACTTCCTATCCCCCCTACATGGGTGAGGTAAGGCTGTTAATTACCTTGTGGCCTCCATGAGGGGAGTACAACCAGTCTTTGTCTGGTGGTCGACCTTTGAGCTGTGTTTTAGAAGCAATTCCACAACGCCAACATGGCCTGTGTAAAAGATGGTACATTAAACTATATACCCAGGGTTTTCAATAAAATTTTTGGTAGGCAGTTATGAAATTAAAGTAGGCGGTAAACCGCAAATCACTGGAGCATGTAATTGAGGCATACTTGTCACCAGTCTCCCTCTTCTCACAAAAATTCAAGATGGCGGACAACGATTGTCGTAGTTTCAATTCTGTTGCAGTTTTCGTAGTACAGCAACAAAGATTGGGTTAAAATTTATTTTAACGAACTTTAAAGAACTTTAATCAAAATTTACAATTACATTGGGAAGTGGCTAAGTAGGCAGCCGAATTGGCAAAAGTAGACGGTGGAATCTGCCAGTTGCCGGATTCTATTGAAAACCCTGTATACCACTCAATAAAAGTCACCTAATGTTAGCATTTTAAGTTAATGGACATGAAACATAAGCAAAAATAAATTCGAATTTCAATGAGCCATGACAAACATGTATGGCTCCACATTTATCAGGCAGTTGGAGCACGTTGGAATGTAGTCAAGCTTATCATTGATTGGCTAATTTTTCTCTGTTTTGAGAGTTCATATTTCTTATCGACTCAAACACGCCATAGAGGATTTATTTTTTGAAGACATTAATGGAAGTTTCAAAACCAAGGATGATTTGAAAAACTCCGAGCTCCAAGCACAATATTAGCAAACAAATCGAATCCCACCTAGAGCTCTGAATTTTTCCCTGAGAAAAGTTTGCATTTCGAACACATTTAGTCTTCACGCTCACCTTTCCAGCAGGCTAGTGTCAGGGGTGTGTCATCATTGCTCCCTGATGGCTTGTTGATTTCTGCTCCACGTGCAAGAAGAAGCTGTGTTGTTTCTACATGACCCTCCCTGAAAATAAAAGATGAAAAAAAGAGATATAAGTGTATTCAATGAAAAGGGACTTATATTGGGATGTAAAATATTTGTTGTTTATCTAATGCTGGTCCAGAGAGAGGAACACCACAGGGAGCCCAATTTAGATTAAAGTGAATGGTCAAAATAAAATTAGAAAAATTAAATTATTAATTGTTTTTTAAATGAGATCAAGATAATGTCCTCCGTAATATGAAAGAGTAAAAAAATCAATAAAAAATGCACTAGAACATTTTTAATGAATTATTAAAAAAATCAATCATTTAATTTTTCTGATTTTTTCTGATTTTATTTTCACAATCCATTTTAATCTAAATTGGGCTCCCTGTGGGAAAACTGTGCCCATGTCCTTGAAAAAGAAAAAAACAGGCTGGGGATCTCCTTGGTTGGTACTCTATATTCAAGTCCTCAAGCACAGTTTTCCCCCATTTGGTATTCTTGCATGTAAATAACCTCCAGGAAGGGCTTAATACTAGTAGACTACTAAAAAAATTTGACTCACCTGGCTGCTAACATTAGAGGGGTGCATCCAGCTTTATTGCGGTGTTCTATATTAGATTTATGGTCCAGTAACAGTTCTACCACCTTGGTATGTCCCTTCCAGCATGCTAGTGTCAAGGGGATGTTGTTTTCACTGCCCGACGGCTTGTTTACCTCTGCTCGGCTGTCTAGGATAAGCTTAGCCACACTATAGTGCCCCTCTCTGAAAAAGATAAATAAAAAATAAGTTGAATAATTAATATAAACAAGAGTGAAAAAAATGGAAAATAAGATGAAGTAGGACTGAGAAAATGAAATAAGTGGAAAAATGAACTCGGATAGGAAATGAAAAAAAAAAATTAAAAAGAGAAACGAAAATTACCTTGGTTGTAAGGTTTCCCATTTCAGACCACATGTCATTCCCTAGATTATTATTTCTTTGTTTAACATGTGCACATGAAAAGACACATGAATGAGGATGCAACTCAAACAAAGAATCTTATTCTCAATGACGTGGTCTTAGATGAAAAACACTTTACCCAAGATACAGAGGTTTATTTTATTACGCATTTAGGGTCGATATCCATGAAATAAAGCTGTGAATGAAAACCATATAAGTGAAGTGATACGATATCACTTCACGGCAAAACTGTCCAATAAGATCTCACGAAATATTTTAGCTTTCGACCAATCAATATCGACCCTAAATGTATAATAAACAAATAATCACATGTTAAGAGCCTGATATCATTTTTATTCACTTGTTTTTCATATAATATTGCTCACATGTTGAGAACTCGCTTGTTCGCTATTATACAAAAAACTTGTCAATAAAAATGATATCAAGCTCTAAACATGTGATAATCTATTTATTACAGAAGGCCCATGAAATATTTTGAATGAATTATTGAATATGAAATATGAATATAAATTTAAAATATTTATAATTTAATCAAAGTCACTTTTCATTTTTTAACAAGACAATTTTTTTTTTATAAAATGTTTTTGAATTTCAAAATCAATTTTATATATTTTTTGGTATTTGTTGTAAAACATTTTTAACCAGAATTTTATATCTTCTGTTTTATTTACGAGAGTTTTCCTTAAGTATAATGCCCTGACTTTTTTATTTTTTTGCTCAAATATGCTCATAAATAAGCACAGCAAGTTGGCTATAAGAAAATAAAAAATACACAATACAAAAAAAAAAAAAGAGAGAGAAACAAAAAACACTTTTCTATGTGATGTAAAATTTCTAGTAAATTAAGGAACCATTTTTGTTATCTCAATCAAGGAAACTAAATACCATAAACCACAATTAGCTTCAATATTCTTTTCTATCTTTTGGCATAATCTCTTGTTACCTTGGTAACCAATACAATCAGGCATCAACAACCTTACAAATTTTCTAAGTTTAGCATCCTATTGATTTTAATTAGAAAGACAGGAAGACAGAAAAAAGCTACTAATTCACACCTGGATTACTGAGGATATCATTTATATATCTTAATAATAAATTTTATCAAAACTCTCAAAGATATGTTTTTTTGAAAAATTTGAATTTTGTCTATAAGGATAAAAAATTTTTTAAGAAATTTTTTTTTTATATGATAAGACATTTATGTGTATTTGTATAGTAAAGTCTAGGCGGGATAGAATGATTATCTAAGTTACTGTGTGGATACTCCAACCGGAACCACTTTGATAAACTATTATCATTAACCAATCATATTGTGACATTACTTCATTATTTTTCACCAGCCAATCAGATAGCACATTGATTTAATAAGAGCATGAGAACATGAAAATCTGATTGGCTAGCACTGCTGTCAGTTCAATCTATGTCTTGTTTACTGTCATTTTATTGGTCAGTTTTATTCAAGTGGTCCTGGTCAGTGTGCCCGCACAGTAAAGCTTCTAACTACAATAAGTTACACTAACGAACTAGTGTATCTAACAAGATATATAGGACATGTTTTATGCAGGACTTCTTTTCTTACAGCCAATCTCAATCACACGCTCCCTCTAGTGATTATCTTTGTTGCGACGAAGTAGATTTTGGGGGACATCAATCAAAGCGTTTCCATGACATTCTATAGGCATGTGCCCTTATAGCTTTGTGTTTTCCGACAATGTTATGGAATCGCCTCGTGATTGACGTCCACCAAAACCTTCTTCGAGCGACAGAAAAAATCACAAGAGGGCGCATGTGATTGAGAATGGCTGTAATACTTACCAACAAACTACCTCCTTTTAATATATTTATTAATTTTAACACACTCTTTCCAGATAAGGTTATTATTCTCCTGTCCTGTGTGTTTTGGAACCCTTTGGAATTACAATTTATAAACCTTTATTTTGGCAGTTGCTTGTTCAAGCATCCTTACCTAGCTTAAAGAATATTGATCAAAAACCAAAACGGAAACAGAAAAACAAAACACTAGAATTCACTAGTATATTTCATTCATATATTTCATTACTGTAATTCATTTCATTCATTAGTTAGGTTATTTATTCACATCTAGACAAAAGAAAGAATTACTTAAAAGAATTACGAAAATAGTTATTATTCCAATTTGAAATAAGCTTAATAAGTAAATAAAGAAAAAAGGATCTTTTAGATTGTTCATTCATTTATTTATTATAATAAATTTAAGAGAAATTTCAAGAAAATTGCATTTCATTTTCAACAGCTAACAATTTTAATGTTAGGTAAAATGAATGTATTTTGGAGTATTTTGCTCTATTTGTTGTTTTTTTAGATATAAAAAAGAATTTCTTAAAGAAAATATTTTTTCAACAAATATCAAAATCAGGGCACAGCTAACTCAAAGATTAAACCCTGAAACAACCTCTGGGCTGATCTAAGTCAGGGCATGGCTAACTCACAGATCAAACTCTGAAACAACCTCTGGGCTGATCTAACTCAGGGCACTGCTAACTTACAGATCAGACCCTGAAACAACCTCTGGGCTGATCTAACTCAGGGCACTGNTACAGATCAGACCCTGAAACAACCTCTGGGCTGATCTAACTCAGGGCACTGCTAACTTACAGATCAGACCCTGAAACAACCTCTGGGCTGATCTACATATCCTACATGATCAAGAAATTATGGAACCTTTCAAAGTTTTGTACAAGGATAATAGAGTAAATATATATGTATATATATATATATATATATGAAAAATATAGAAGAGATAACTAGCTAAAAACTAGTGTGAGCTGCATCGGTGTTTCTAATGAAACAGTAATGATAAAAAGTTAAAATTATACACCCTGAAAAGATGAAAAAACTGAAAAAACTTACTGACGTTTCGGATGCTACTCCTTCATTGGAGTAAAAGAAATTGTAATTTTTATAATTCTTGAGAAATAAAGAAAAATATAATTTATATGGTATAGGGATTCAACACGGATGAGACACATTTTAGAGCACTCATACTATATGAATTATATTTTGCATTTAAATATACTCTACATACTGTAAAGTTCTACACAGTTTATCCTTAATTGGAAATTCGCCTGGAATAACCTCGTTCCCAAGCACTATAACTTATCTATTTTTCTATATCTTCGTGTATTTCATAAGTGCTACGGGGTCCACATATTCTCATCTTCGAATCATAATTACCGCGACCTAACATCTATTTCACCCTGGCCTGCTCTCAGTCTGACCTCTAGCTCAGCTGGTAGAGCATCGGTAGTACAATTCCGAAGGTCGTGGGTTTGATTCCCAGCAAGGTCGGAAATTAAGGGTCTTTTGCCTGGAATAACCTTGTTCCCAAGCACTATGACTTATCTATATTTCTATATCTTCATGTATTTCATAAGTGCTACGCGGTCCACATATTCTCATCTTTGGAAATTCATAATATAATACAGTACACATCTATAAGTGCCTCGTATCTGTCAACCATGTGTTGAAGGCTAATAATCTAATTAACACCTTGTAGACAAAATTTCTCTTATGAGAGTGAAATATGACTTTTTAAAGAAAAAATACAACAATGTATTCAAAATAGATGTATAGTCATAGCAAATGAAATTATCATCCCAACATTCATAAATCATATTTAACTTATTACTTCATCCAAAATAATAATATATGAATATAAGAAAATTTATATACATACTGTAATTAACCTTTAGTTTAATGGTCCCCAAGGGTTTAAAGAAAAGACAATCCTTTCAAATATCTTGAGGTGAAATACAATTGTCTTTTTACTAGCAAAAATCTAATATTTTTGATTTTATTACTATTAAAAATATTTAAAATAATGTGAATGGATGTCTTCTATTTCTCAAGAATTATAAAAATTTCATTTCAGGAAATAAAAGCCAAGAATAATAAAGATTTTAATTTCCTTTTTCTTTTCAGGAAGTAAAGGCCAATCTTTAGCTGGTTTAGAAAATTACACTCCTTTTGTACAAGACATTTACTTTTTTCTTTTTACAATTATTTTTAAAAGCTCCAAATGGACATATTTCAATTCATCTAAAAATATGTGAAAATACTATCTATGACACTATCTCTTAAGCTCTTGGAGTAAAAAAAAACTTATGAATATAAAAAACGATCAAGAAGAGATAATTTTGGTTAAATTTTTGGGGAATCTTTTCAAAATGAAAAAAATTGGGATGACTGGCGTAAATTATTTTAGGTGATTTAAGAGATTTATTTAAGGAGAATGCATGTGGTGGAATTGTACAAACAAACAGGTATTTAGAATAAATAAAAAAAGATCACATTCAAATCTCGAGACACTTGAAAACATGTCATCGTAATATGTATGTACCACAATATATAAAAAATTTTCATTCTTCACAACATCAAAAAAAATCAATTTGAATATTTTTAGATTGTGGTAAATACCATATTGACAAATTATTCTAGAAATAAAAAAAGAAAAACAGAATGGTTGGCAATTATTTTAATAGATTCAAATGTAAAACATTAATTTCTCAGATACCTGAAATTTTTATGCTTTTATTTTGGGGGGAGGGGGG